CCCCAAAACCCCAAAACCCCAAAACCCCAAAACCCCAAAACCCCTAACAAAATAAAATTAATTGGCTCTATAATAATATGGCAGACCAGACAGATAATCCAGTGATTTCCATCCTTGAAAAGCACAAGGATGAAAGAACCCCAGCAGAAATTGATAAATTGTGCCATCTTTTGAAAAGCATCGAGTTCTTTGAAGAGAGAAATATTCGGGAGAAATACTATCCCGAAATCGTTCCATGACTTAAGCTTCAACGGTTCAAACGTGATGAATTTGTGTTTCATAAAGGTGATGAAGGAAAGCACTTCTTTATCATCCTCAGAGGCTCTGTCAGCGTGTGTGTTCCCAACGCGACCAAAATCAAGAACTTGCCCAGAGCCAGGCAGGAAGTAGAAGACTTTTTAAAATTTAAACCAAAGGAAACTCAGAATGCTCATAGAAGAAAATAACACTGAAGGTGATTTTGTCACAGACTCTGAGGCTGAAGGGGAATGTGACGAAGGGGATGAGAGCGATATGGAGGATGAAAATACTTCTAAGGCTCTGAGCCAGATCACGAAAAATAGCGGAACCCCCACTAGGCTCCATTCTAAGACTTTAATGGGTGAGCCAAAGCCTAGTCAATTCAAAGCCAACCTCAATCCAACAACTGGGAAATCGAAAGTGGGTACGATTGAGAAATTTGATAAACTTAATCCAATCAAAAAGCTAGAATTTTGGGAGAATGAGCCTGACTTGCTCGAAGTAGCAATTCTTAACGATGGCGCTTCATTTGGTGAAGTCGCACTTATCGAAGATAAGCCAAGAGGAGCTGGAATTAAATGTGTAACTGATTGCATATTCGCTACAATGGATAGAGAAGACTACACAAAAACTCTCAGTCGTATCGAGAACAGAAATATTAATAAAATTATCGACTTCTTTAAAGACCTTCCTTACTTTTCAAGTTATGGAAGAGCTGCTTTGGACAAGATCCGGTTCCTGTTTGTAAGAATTAAATAAGAAGTAAGCAGATTTCCTTCTAAACCCTGAAGAATTGGCCGTGAAAATTACTTAAAAAGCCTTTGCTCTAGTTATCTTGCTTGAAAATAACCAATATTTAGGAGAAAACATGTAGTTTATAAAGAAGGAGACCATTCAGAGTACGTCTACATTGTGTTGAAAGGAGAGTTCGAGCTCATCAAGAAAGTCAAGCAGAGAGAAGTAAAGGAAATAAACTTCAAAAGATACGTAAAGAGTAACATGCTCGGTGATTCTCGTGCAGATTATGGGATGGGGAAGTCAGAGGTCGACCATAAGGTAGCCCAGTTTTCCAAAAATAAGTCATTATCCAATAATAACGAGTACAACCAAAATTACAGAATAGCTTTGATGTGTAATGGCCAAATGTTTGGAGATCAGGATGCCTTCTTTGAACGTCCCTACACTTCAACCGTGATCTGAAGGAGCAACGATGGGGAGCTTTACCGAATCACAAGGGAGAATTTCCAGAGGTTGAAAAATCATGGGGACTGATGGAATAAAATTACTTCTAAATATATTACCCAGGAAACTCTGCACCATAAATTGCTGAAGAACCAGAAGAAGTTCAACAAGGAAGCTTTTAAAAAGAATACAAACAGAAGTACACATTCTCGTAGCAAGAGCTCAATGCCATATGCTTTGATAGCCCAAAAATCTCCCTATCTCCGCCAGTTTGCGAGTAATTTTGGTGATAATTATTTTTAGAGAAGAAGAAAATCAAAGAAATTGAAAAACGAGAGATCCTCAAAGAAATAGTCAAGGACTATACCAAAATTACTAGTAACAATAAGCTTCGCAGTGAAGCAATGCAGAGGGAGACCCTTATAACCGACTCAGATATCCGTGTATTCCAAAATACCAAGCTAAACACACCCGAGAAAGTCAGCACAATGAGAAAGAAGCTGGGTGGTGACTTTACTTCTTCAGACCAGAGAGAAAGCTATGGGTCTATTGTGAGAGGTCACAGGAACCCAATAGCCAACAAGTCAACTTTCAGATATGAAGGGCATAGTTTCGAAGTTGATGAGACTATCTCCAACCATAATGCTAGCGCTGCTCATCCAAGAGTCAATTCTATTATCGAAACTAATGCCAGCCTTTCCAATATCAGGAAGAAAAAGGTTCTTCATCCGAAAGATCTGATGCGGGCTTCCGTCGAAGAATCCCAGGACGGATACAGAAATTCCTTCTCAAGACAGTCTAAAATGATAATGAATTATAAAAGTTCTGAAATTGATCGCAACAGCCTAGCTTCAGCCTGTGATGGGTATCACAAGGTAAGTTACTGAGGTGGTTTCCCCCGTTCTTGGAATTATACTTTAGCTACAAACTCTAACATGCTTTTAGATGAAAATCCCAATCAAAAGAAATCCTTTGTTTAAAAGACGCTCAGGATTCATGCCAATAGCATGCACGATGAGAAGCAAGAATTTGAAGAAAAGTCATAGAATCTCAACATCAATTGGGAGAAAGAGACAGACTCTAAACGGTCCGTTGCTTGGCAAAAAAATTACTCCTGCAAAAATAAACATCCATGGGCATAAGCTCCATAATGGCAGTATGGGAAATATGGCTATGCTCTTCAAATAAGCTATTCAACTATCGAAGCAATATAAGGGGTTTTGGGGTTTTGGGGTTTTGGGGTTTTGGGG